TTTTTAAAAAAAATTTGGCTGAAGTTGCGCAAAAGACCCATATTGGAACAAATTCATAATACAGGGGGGAATGTGAGCCAATCCTTTTCTTATGGAGCAAATCCAGACACCAAAAAATTGAGGGGCATAGATTTAGTTTTTCCAGTATATAAGAATATGCACACTAAAAAGTGAAAGCGTGAAGTCTCTAAAACACCAGCAATTCAAGAAATGAAACATTGAAATATCATATTAGCAAAATATTCCATTGAGAAAGATAGATGCTGCAGTCCAAAACATTCAGATTGCAACTGTAGTTCTAATAAAATCTGAGTAGATACCTGATTAACAAATGTTCGTTGGAAAGGACTTTTATCAGCATTTAACTGCAAAAAAAAAGGACAAAAATAATATGACCCTGAGTATATCTGAACGAAAGCTAAAAAGACTATATTGCATATTCATTTAAAGAAATTATAAATGAGAGGAGACCAGAAAAGAAAGAACAAAGAATTTCAATGCTTTTCATAAGATGTCTCATATACAATACAAATTCAGGTGTTTCACCAATAAATACAGTGTGTTGCAGAAAATGCGAACTCAACCTATACTGATGGAAATATGCACTCTCTGATGCTAACACAAGAAAATATGAATAGCCATCACTCAAGGGCATTAAAAGTACTACTTTATAAACAACACTAAAAAGGGTTTGGCATTGTTTAATGATTAATAGTTACAGAAATTGTTTAAACCCAACTAGATAAGGAAAGTTTGAGCATACTTCTCTGGTTTGGTTTCTAAAGAACTTAGAAGTTGTCTTTTTCTATTATCCTATTAGATTGCAAGCTGCTGTGGATTGAATATATTGGTTTCAACACTTCAAAACATACTCAAATTAGACAAATTTCTCTAACTATTTCTTTCAAGCCTTGAAATAGGTAGATGATACAGGTCCAGTACATACTCAGTTTAAAGAGAACTATAAAACATAAAAAATCCTCAAACCACTTTTAGACAATGTATTATTTCAAGCTTTCAGTTTCAGGATTCAGCTTATTCCTTTCCTGCCAACTGCCATTAGAATCGGAACCCCCGCCACCACACTAATCAAAATGGAGAATTGATTTTTTGGAATTACTAAGATAGATTTTGACAATGTATAATTTGAAGTCTTTCAATAGGTAGGTGCTACAGCAAGCCCAGTACATCTTTAAAGAGGACATCAACAAAAATTCTCTAATGACTTATGAGTTACGATTATTAGCATAACAGACTTTATGATAGTAACGATGGACAGACTCACTTTTACCATATCATCTTGAAAAATATAATTAGTAGTACAACTAACTGTTCAGAATCATCCATAAAATTAATTGCATAATGGGTAATGCAAATAACTCTACTTGCGTGATCAATAAAGAAAAATTGGGTACAGGAAGATTATAAGTGAAGATAGTTTCACAAATACATGTGAATGTGCAGGGCACCACCTACACGGAGAGCATAAAACCGTTGGCAGAAATGTCAAAACAAATCAGTTCCAAAAACTCTGTCAAGCATGGAAGATGGAATATGTGAATCTCACATAATACCAAAGGATAGCCCAAGTATCCAATACCTAGGGAAGCATCGTATTAAAAAGCCCAAAAGTGTTTCAGGCAAAGCCACAGAGGTCCCAATACTTCACAGACCCAAAAGTACGGGTTTTTTTCCATCAAATGAAGTTAGCAAACCTGATCTAAGTGATAATAGGATATAAGCATTACGGAAAGACAACTCAAATGGATTATATAACTGAAACTTAAAATTTAAATACCTTAATTGAGAGGAAGATGTAATTTATCTAATTGTGAAGTGGATTAATCTGGTATAGAGACTTACAAATTTATTCACAAGTGCGAGAACTTAAATTTAGTACGTAATTATTCAAATTAATGAAAAAATGCGGTTGTATATCTTGCACAATGAGGGTAAGGCATCCTTTACCTTTAGGATACTTACATGATACTGAACATTTCTCAACCTACCCAGGCAAAATACCATTAGGAATGCAGGAGGATTTTTCTTGCTAAAATCAAGCAAAATAGGCCTCCATGCAAACCCCTCCTAACTGGGAATATATGCAATATAACCAGATCTAAAGTACTCTCAAATACAATGTGCGTGTGATACAAGTAAAATATGCTCCTGACCAATTAACCGAACAATCAAGGAACCATAATGATAAATCTCAATTCCCCAATCGTGCCCCAAAAAAAATCTAAACTTTCGCAAGAAAACTAAACAAATCAAAAACTTTCAGAAGTAAATTTCTCAATTGCTGACTGGTATCTACTCAACTACTTAATTTAATCAAACTGAAGCAAAACTCTCATTTATCCTAAACCAATCAATCAAACCTCTCACTTCAGATCACTAGAGACACAGAGAGATGCCAAATCTAACACAATTCATGAAGACCGAGTCGTCGGATCTGAGTTCTCGAAAACTTACGTCTCGGAATTGGAGGAGGCCGAGTTCGCCGAGATAAGAAATGGCGCGGTGGGCAGACTCGACGGGGATGATGAGCTGGACGAAGGTCATCTTCTCGGAGCGCATCAGATCCATGGCTGGTAAGTTGTCGATGAACTTCTCCATTTTCTCGGCAACCAAACAGAAACTGATTTTTTTTTTTTCTTTTTCTCTTTCTTCGCCTCTGGATCTGAAACTCTCTTTCAGATCTGAAACTGAAAACTGCCTCTCTCTCTCTCTCTCGTTTTCTCTCTCTACGTGAGTGTGTTTGGTTTTAGTGCGTTATTCCGAGGTTTTCATTTTCGGGTTTTTGCTTTTCTTCTTGCCAACTGCCATTAGAATCGGAGAATTCGCATCACTTTCCATGCCCGATGCCAAGTGATGTTGAAAATAATATTATTTTGATTTTGACAAAGGAAATAATATTAGGTTTTTTTTTTTTTTTTGGGTCAACTGAAAATATTTTCGAGGTTGGCGTAGAGCCAAAGGTGGTTAAGTGAAGTCTTAGTCCGCACAGAACTTTCTACGTTAATTAACATGTATTAGGTTCCAATTAAATCCATGTTGTGTCCAAATGTTGTATAATAGTAGGCATATGAACTCTAATTTTATTTGTATTTTAATGGATTATTGTTTTATGTATTTATCTTTTTCAAATGAAGTATTTATGTTTGAAAATTTCTCTTAAATAAGAGGATTTTTGGCCAACTTTAAAATTTAACCATAATGGCTCAATAGAAAAAGACTTTTAATTGCAAACAAGTATTCCCATGTTTGAATCCCACGACGCTTGGTAACGCTTAAGGGAATTCTATATCAGCCCCAATATATTGAAGACACCCACTAAATTTTGAATATGAAAAATTAGTTTGCTCTAACATAAAATGACTATTGAGGTCAAAGAATTTTTAAATGTAAAAATTATTTTGTGACTACATTCCAATCCAAGGGCCCATATTTGGTAACTCACACCCATCATCTTCTTCAAACTCTCATATTCACCCTCATTCCACTCATTATATGCATAAAAATCACAAATATTGACAACAACTAGTTATTGTTTACAAAATATAGTGTCATATCTTTTTTTAATATAAGAGATAGTCTAAACTACAAGGGGAATGAAGTTTTACACACACTATCAAGGTATCATATAGATTCAAACCTGAGACCACTAATCTGCAAATAAATATTTTTTTTTCATTATGCTAGATCCCTTTGACCAAAAATGATATCACTTTTAAGTTCATACATAGCATGTAAAGTAATAGTCAAATATTAGTTTTGTTTCCATCTTGAATTGTAATATCATCGAAGAATGCACATGCTTAGTAAAAGACATCACATTGATTGTTTGTTGCATAAGACATGTGGTTTGTATTTGAATTCAATTAAAAATACTAGAAATCAAATTCTCAACAATCAAAATATGAAAATTCAGTTTTAGTATAAGATACAGTTTATATCAATATTGATACCACATTTAGGCACGTCCCTATGGGTGGGCTCGGGCCAATCCCTTTCAAACTTCAACATGACTTGGTCCGGCCCAAAAAAAAGAAAAAGCTTGACAAGACTTGACCCAAGCCAAAAAATGTAGAGACAGCTGACCTGATAAAGAACTATAAATTCAAGGATGTAAAGAATGCAATAAAATACTTTGTTTTAAAGTAACTAAAAAAGTCAAACAGTCCACGCTTGATTCGAGTTTTATACATACAATTTAGACAGCATAAATAAAGTCTACATGGATTTCCATATGTGTATATTAAACGTCATGATACCCATTTTGAGCCGTGCAATGAAATTCTCTAAGAAGGTTTGTAAAATAAGCAAGCGTTCTTGATGTATATTCTCATTGTTGTTAGTGTCGATACCATCAATGTAAAGGGCATGTAAAGGAGGTGTAGTCTAGATATTTATGTGCACTTAGCGTGAGTTGTGCTAAATAGTGTGTTTCCTTTCTAACTTCTACTTTGAACTCTTTAATTATTCAATAAGTTTTTACGTTTCATTTGAAACCTTGATACTCCAAAACAAACATTATACACTTATTTTATCCGTCGTATAAACACAAAGGAGAATTGTAAAATGACTTTTATTTTTGTAAATCATTAATCCCATTTTACAATGTGAAAATAAAACTTTAAAAAAATAAAAAAAATTAGAAGTTGGTGCTCTTCTCTAAGCACTATGGCCAGTGGCTTGTTGACAACTTGGCATAGTGCTCCACTGTGAGTGTCATGGCCAATTAACCACAATTTAGGAGTCTAAGAACTATGGTAGCCCAAACTAGGACCAACAATTATTTTTTGGTCGGAGATATATATAAGCAAGCGATTTGGACCTCATTGCAAGTCAAACTAAAATACAACACTACAATTGTAAAAATTGAAATTATAAGGACTGAAATGAAAAAGGGGTATAAAAAAATACGTGGGCCAAAAGTAACGAAGATTAATAAAGCAACCCAATTTGTCTCTTGTAAATAAATAAAAACCCCATTTGTCTCTCAACTCTTGTGACGGTGTCCGTACAAAGATACAAGCGCGAAAGGGCTTCGTCTTCTCAATCTTAACCAAACGTCCTTGAAATCGCCCTGTAAGTTGCCCTACCTTCTCTCTTCTCAATCGTTTATAAATATGTTGCCTTGTTCTTTGCATCAAAATCGTCATCAAACCCTGAGATATAAAATCTCTGATCTTAATTATATTTAAGCAATTCAAGAAAAAGAAACAAGAACCCTTAGGTTGTTTAAGCCAAACTGATAGTGAGGTCCGGAATTTCTCTTGCTTTGGTTGGGATTTTATTTTGGAGCCAAATAACTTTTAGTGAAAATTGTACTCGATGGAATGGGAAACTGAGCTGGGTTTTGTTATTTGGGTGAATTTTTGGTGGTGGGTTGCGTTGATTTCTTATTGAAATGGTTATAGGGTTACCCCTTTTTCAGTTATGGGGCACACGCTCACACAAGCAATTTTCTATTCTGCTATATTGTGCTCTAGATTGCTTCAACCTTTTTCCACCCCAGAGAGCCGAAAGAACTGTATATTAGTACGGGAGGTGGTATTGAGTTCAAGATTTGATAGAATGAATTGTAGACCGCTTTCGTATGCTGTTGTTTTTCTGCTAAGTTGGTTGTTTGTAAATAAACCGGTTGTGTAAAAGGTTTATGCAATTGTAGTATATTGATGCGAAAGAGTGGTTGCAAAATCCAGCAAAGGTGAATGGTGTTCCTCCACTTGGTAAGAAAGAATGTTTGGTTTATGTTAATCCATATGGGAGGACTGGTATTTGGAAATGTTGTGCCACTATTTGTCACGGGGAAAAAACGTAGATATTCCGTTTAGGAACGCAAGGATATGTTGGTAGTTTGATGGCATTCTTATGCAAAGGGCAATGAATTTGTATATTTCGTTATTGACTGTTGGTTGAATGCATTTCGTTCAAGAAGCTGAATTTGGGAAGATAATGTTTGTGATTTTGTCCTCCTTTTCATAAATTAAGTGTTTCAATTGGAAGATGAATGTTCCTGTGTATAGTGGCACCAAGGACGGTTGTTGTGATATAGGAGAGATCAAAATCTAAGGGGGCCAGGGCCACTCCAGGACTAGGAGTGGCTCTGCCACTAGTTGTGAGGTTAGAGTTGATGAGGGCCACATTTAGAGCTTGCACAGGATGGTCCTGGTGTGAGCAACTGTCTGACTATCACATTTATTGTTACATCAATGGCCTATTTCTATCAATTTCTTACGTTTTTCATTATTATGTTTCTAAAGTATCGAATCCTTGCTTTCTATATGATGGCCTAACTCGGGTTTTTGAATTTTGTTGGATCAGGAGTACATAAACATTATCTACCAAATGGGAAAAACCAATCCCGATGAAAAGATTCTCAGCTACAATGATGTTGTACTCCGACGATCAGACTTGGACATCCTCAGTGGCCCATATTTTCTCAACGATCGAATCATTGAGTTCTATTTCAGTTATCTATCATCGTGTTCTGAGGAGATCCTGCTGGTTCCACCTTCGATTGCATTCTGTATAATGAATTACCCAGTTGGTCAAGGCCTGACGGAGTTCCTACAACCTCTTCATTTGCCTGAGAAAAAACTGGTAATCTTTCCCATCAACGACAATGATGATGTGAGTGAAGCTGGAGGCGGGTCTCACTGGAGCCTACTTGCATTTGAGAGAAACGCTAACAAATTTTTTCATCATGATAGCAATAGGGGGATGAATAGTATCCACGCCAAACGACTTTACAACGCTGTTGTTAGCTTTATGAGTGTCTCCGGTTCTGCAACTAAGCCCGTTTATCAAGAGTGTAACTCTTCACCGCAGCAAATGAACGGTTATGATTGTGGCCTTTATGTGTTGGCCATTGCAAGGGTTATATGCAGCTGGTATGGAGAGAGAGACAAAGATGGAGATAAAATGTGGTTCTCTGCTGTGCAGGAGCAGGTTACCCCAAATGTTGTTGCCAGAATGCGAAATGAGATCCTCGGGCAGATCAGAGATCTCATGCCCATTAAGTGAGGTTTTGGGAAGTCTTTAAACACAAAGTAGTTTATTAGATAGATCTGCTTGCTTGATACAAGACGATTGTAGAAATCCGTTCGGTTCCTTTATTTTTTTGATATGAGATGCTTGTAGAATTCTTCTAGAACATGCCCACTTCCCTTGGTTCTTGGACCAGGAACATAAGCACACTGGCTAGTAGAAGCATTTGATGGCATTCTAGAGCTTCAGAAACTCCATATTTATAGTACTCTATGCAGGTTTTCCTATAGTTTTTTGTGTTCTCTGAACATCTCTATGCTCCAACAAAAAGCTGAATTTTGCATGTTGACCAATTTTCTCTGCTCCTTGTAGGTGGCAGAATAGCATTGAATGAAGGATTTTAAACTGTATGTTTCAAATTTTCAAAAATAATCTAGACATTGAAACTAGAAATTTTAACAATGAACGTCATATTGATGATAATCAATATATAATAATTATTTAAACTTGGTAAACAAGTCCAATTTAAAATATACAAAAACACTTGACAAACAAGGGGCAGAAAATCTGAGAAGATGACAGCAACAAGAACGCCGGCGTGATGACTAAATTTTCTCAAGAATAGAGGGGGGAAACCTAATAATTAAATGAAAAAAGTTGAGAGAAGACACTACAAAATTGCATCCACGTGCAATGTCGCAGAGCATCTATTAACAATACATTATAAAACTTCTGTACTTGCAGGGGCGCACAACAGCAAAGAGTAAAGTGAGCTTCAGAAATATTTGTGATGTAATTTGGTCAATTTTATTCTTGAAATTTGACAATGATAGAAGACGAAAGCTGCACAAGGAAAATCATCCACATTTCAAAGATACCTTCATAATCCATGCAACAGCAAGACCAATGATAAAAAGAAAAATAAAGTATCAGAAATCAAACGCTCACAGAAGAGAATTGAAACATCATAAAACATGCAAAAACATCTGCACCCTAAATTATGCTGTAAATTTTACATTATCACAACACTCTTAATATAGGTAATATTTTCTACATAATAAAGAAAATGATGGAAGGATCAAGTATAGAGAGTTGATATTAGGAAGAAAAAGATATACCTGTCACTTTCTTTTGCATACACTTTGTCATAACTATTTATAAGGAAACTACATCAAGCTACATCGAGGTTTAGGAAAATTACAGGAACTTTTTACTATTTCAAAAAATTACATATGCTTAGTGTATTGTATCAAGGGATCTTTGTGTAATTTGTTAAAATAGGTTTCTGAAATTTCAGTAAACCTCAAGAGAGCTCTGTGTAATTTACTCTTATTGGATTTAATTTTTTAAAAAGAGATAGTAGCCCTTTTTATAGGTGAGTAGAACCTTCCACTTCATTGAAAAGACCATTACTGAAATGGGAGGAAGTTTCTAATAATTGTAGGTCCCACCTTGAAATTATAAGTATGGACAAGAGAGAACTTGTAATTTTAATTTTGTTTTAATGGAACATATGTGACTTTGTGGTGCAACCAAACCTTGAAGGGCTCAAACTTATATGAAAGGATTCACAAGTTACACTTACCACATTTGTCGGTCATTCATATCATGCTTCTATCCATCGGATAACTCCCTAGCACCCGCAAGAATGTGGCGAATTCCTGCGAAGGAAATTTAGCGTTGAGGAAAAATTTCAACTGAAGATACACACTACCCCCCCCCCTCCCCTCTCTTCTTCTCTCTCTCTCTCAAAACACCCACCCAAAATCACACACACACAACAAAACAAAAACCCAACAAAAAGACAAAAGAACCTTCAGATGCCTAAGGGCATTTTGTGCACTTTGATCAGCCATTGATGCTTCAAAATCCACATAAAAAAGATAGTCAAAGTATCTGCCATTATTATCATCAGACGCTCGCAGCGGTTGCTTCCGCAAGGGACGGCTTTCAATCTGGTTAACGAAACAAATTAAGAAATCAACAGTTGCACCAAGCAACTATAGGAAGCCTCATAAAAAAAATCCAGGACCAACCTTTGTCAGATTGATTTGACGCAAAGCAAAAACAGCAAGCGCCTTAAAAAGGACCCCAGGGCCTTCCTCTAGTGAGAAAACTATACTCGTCTATAAATTCAATAACCGTGTGATTAACAAAAAAATTAATTATAAAAGGAGGTCTACCTACAGTAAACTGGATACCAATGTATTCAAAAACCAAAACAGGCTTAACCTTGAATGGCCTATCTGTGCCGGGAATAATAGGTTCTCTTGCAAGCATTAGAAACCGGGTCACATTGTCACAATCATCCTGTACATAGAAGCATATAAATTATCACAGGAGTGAAGTATGAATCATGACCAAACCAAATGTCCTTCGCGACAAACCTGAATATCCTGTGCAAGTATCGTCAGACCATAAATGTCTGCAGCTGCTGAGCTAGCAACAGCTCCTGTATCTTTTAGTTTGTGGAAAGCAACATGCTACAATTTATGGAGTACACAGTTAGCGACACCAATATAAAAGCCATGATAGTTACAATTAGGTGATAGTACTAGACAATTTAATTAAGAAGATTGTAGTTTTATCTGTAGCTTCAAATAATGCAACCTACTTCAACCATACTGGACCAGAAGGCCCCCTGAGCTGAGAGTAATGAAAGTTGTTCCACTTAAAATAGGCAGGCCCCATGCGATGACTGTATTGAAGTGGTTCCACTTAAATAGACACCCAATTATAGTTTTTGGAGGGAAAGATAGAGAAGAAAAACTCCGAACACAAACACAAATACTATGCACAAATCCTGACTCATGAGGTAACTTGGTATCAGGACTTAATGGACTAGAAAATCAGCTGCCCAACTACCTGATCAAGGGCGTACCTTTGCTGCACCAGCAGTATCATCCACTGCTTCTCGGACCAATCCCAACTTGGTTAATGTGTGCTCACACTGAGAAAGAGCCTGAAATATGACTAGTTATTGGGGGGAATCATGAGAAAATACTAGATGGACAGAGAATCTAGGAGCACTGCTTTATATACCTGTGGATGGCTAAGAACCCTTTTCAGGTCTTCCACTTCAACACCATGATTAGCCAGTAAGCAATGCCGAACTGCAAGTTTCACTTCCCCTACTATATGCAACCTGTGCCTGAGTAAAAGGTCGTAGTTTCTGTGGATGCTTCCACCTAATGAATTCTCAATTGGTAAGACTGCTCTGTCCACAAGCCAGCGTTCAACAGCCTGCATTTGAGTTGAATGGGGAAAGAATAAAACATTTACAGTTAATCCCATATTTAAGAACATGATTTCCATTATTAGACAGTTTAGTAGTTTTCCTATTAGATATGAAACTGATAACCATACTCCTTGTGGCATCAAATATGCACAAGTCAAAAACACCACGAAGGGGAAGAAATAAGGAGCGTACAATATTTTCCTAAAAACTCCTTCCCTACTTTAACATATTAAGGTAAATTTGTCCATCATTTTGATTGTACCAAAGACCCTTCTTCTATATACAAAAGGCTTCTAACTCCAAATTTTTGCATAATCAGAAGTTAGAGTAATTCCAAGGGAAGGAGAACTAAATTTCACCATTCCAAAATCATGCTATCAGTTACTTTACTTCTTACAAAATCAAGCCCCTAAAGGAAAAACCTTTCACATGCAGCCTGACTTAACAATGTCTAGTGGTTTAAAGTCCATGAAATCAAATGCAGTTTCCCTTAACAATTACTAACTGTGGAGCCTCATGATCATTTCATTTCCACATTCCATATGCATTGTAGGTGAATACTCATTAACAAATATTGAAAACCTAAAATGAAAGTTAGTTTCACAGTTTGATCCAACAATGAGAAAAATGATGATAAAAAAATTAGTAAGTATTCACTTCAAAAGCGGTATCAAATTGTTCACAAGGCACTGCTTCGCAGTTTGGATATGCTTTCTCTGCAGCTGATTCACTATATGCTCCACGAACCCCCTGAAATTTCAACATTCAACCATTTATAAACAATTGAATTAATTTCATTCAATACCAATCCCGAACTTGAATAATTTGAGGCAAAATTAGCATTAACCAAATTCATCACACACATGCATATGAAAATGATCAAATGAAAACCTCAGTTGAAGACCCTCAAGTTCCAGAAAATAAAGTGATGACTCTGGTTGAGTATATTAACCATTTAGAACAGATTTGCAAAAGCCTTGTCTAAGGATATACTTCTCAGCTATAAGATCAAATCTAGAGAGCTAATATACACAACAGGTGAGACTTCAGCCGTCCTTATAAATGAGAAACAAGTCCTTATATAAGGACTGTCGTAGAGAATAGCATTACACAGGCACACACACATAATGATGCTTCCGTTTGAAACTGTGAATCAAAAATTGTATCATTCAGAGCCATAATTCAACTTTATCAAAAATCACAATTGTTGCAAAATTGCATGGTAAGAAAACTAGAATGTTTGTCCAAAGCCATTATTGGACTGCATACTCTCTTTATAGTTGCCGTGCATGCAATAATTTAAGTCAAATCAGATACCAATTAACATTTGATGTTTTCCTATCTATTTGAAAGCAACAAAAAAAATTTATCAAACTACAAATATTATTCACATTCCAGATAGGGGAGCTCCTAATCTTCAATTATCATAAAACTGGGACGCATGATGGATACAAAAAGAATGTTCAATCAAGGGTTGGTTTCTAATAAAACCAACTCAATAAAAAGTTAGTGAGAGGTATAAAGTCAAGCTACTGTTACACCAGGTGCACTTCGAACATAATCAATACGTACACATCAAAGATATGTACAATATATGCATATACAGTCATGATATTCTACTCATCTATTAATATTGAAATCCATGCTTGTTAATTAAAAAGAAAACCCTTTATCAGAAATTGAATGTTTGTTGATCAATTAAAATTCCTCCTAACACACACATATGAGTAACTAACTATAAAAAAATAAAAAAGGTAGCTACTTTCAGTCATAACAGTGGAAATGTTTCAATTGAGTGCTAGCTACTTGGCTTAGCTACTTATAAACTCAGATTTTTTTTTTTTTTTCTTTACCTGATATGCAACACGAAGGCGGGGGCCATCAGAGACCGAATTGGAAAGATGGGTCGATGACAAAGGTCCTGAAGCAAGAAAGACACGAAATCGAAAATGACACCCGATTTGTTACAGAGCAATCACAACAATGACAAGGGCGGAAAATGGTACTTGGGAGAGTATGCAAGTCTTTCGATACGACGTCGTAGGGGAAGTCCTCCAAGGCGCTGCTGTCCAATTCGAGAGCACCTCCAACCAGGTGGTTGTGGCCGTGGCCGCCGTTTCTGCTGCGATCGTTGTCGTCTGAGCGAAGAGAGGCCGGGGCCAGGGCGATGCGACAGCGTTTGAACCGAGGGTCGAAGTTTAAGGCTGTTTTGGGAAAGTGATCGGACTGCGAGGGTTTCGATACGAAGTTTAGTGGGAAAGGGGTTGTTGCGGATCGTGCAACAGAAGACGCCGCCATGGCGGGTTGAGAGAAGTTCAAGACGGCGCCTGAGATATTTTCCGAGATGCCCAAAAGATTATAAAATGTTTTGCTTATTCACTTTTAATTTTATTTAATTTTTTCCATTTAAAAATGGAAATTAGATTGGATTGTAAGAAACGTGAACTCAGGCCTCAACAAAACTCAAAAACCTTCCCCAGCCGCCAGCCCAAGTATCTTAGGGTCCCAAATTTTGATTGAGCCCATGAAAATGAAGCCCAAATTACAAAAAAAATAAAAGCACCGATCGAATGAATAGTACCATTGGGGGTATCCGGCTAACATTCGCCCAACTTGCAGGAACTAGCCAGTATTTGCGCTAGACTAAACCCCTTTGGTCGCTTGGTGAAATTTTTCAATATTTATACTTTTAGCTTTTTTTGTTTTTTCAAAGTCAAACGAGAGTTCATTAATCTCAACAAAACAAACAATAATGTTGATGTTTAGAAGTGTGGCCTTGTTAAAAACCTTCTCGAATAAAATAATGATATTTAACTATAAGAGTCGCAAAAGAGTCGAAAGCAAATCCACATTTTAATTAAAAGGAAAGCTTCTTTGCCAACATATTTTGGAAAGTATCTGCCCTTGAACATTCATGCTATCAAAGAGTTAGACAACTCTATAATTCGCCAACCCTGTTTACAAAGTAGAGCATAAAGATCTCACAAACTTGTTGAAGCCAATAATCACTAAAATTTATGTTGGTATATTGATTTCCATAATTTCCAATGAATTCTCTTCTCCTCATGTTTTCACCACCAACATCCTGTAGTGACGTTTTGAATCTTATAACATATGCTAACTAGCAATGAAAACAGAATTAAAGATATGACATGATTGCATGACACATAACTTTCTTTAAAACTTCTTTACCCGCCGTAGACATCAACATGATTTCCCACCACGGATTATGTTCAACACACGAATTTTTTATGTCTCGAAACATCTTTTGTTTATCCGTTCTAGCATTAGTAGGGAGACCCAAATAATATTCATGGCATATGACAATAGTAACTCCCAACATGTCTCAAATGTGTTCTTGACGTCTTCTTGATTTGAGGGACTAGAACAAAGAGGCGACTTCTTCAAATTACTGTTTTTGCATGAAGCAACTTTATAGACTCCAAAAAGTCCATTGAAATTTGTTGTCTCTACAAACACAGCTTCATAATATTTTTAGAATTCACATGTATGATATCGTTGAAGGCTTATGTATTAGTTTCTTCCGATATCTCATATACAAAAATATTTTATTTTATAAATATTCATTTTATGTCTATACATAAATATAATATTCAAATTAATAGTATCATGGAAATGAAACAGTGGTGCAAATCCTTCCTTACCCATGCCGGTAAATATAACGTTTTTTCATTGTTATTCAATGTCATGTAACAATATGTGTGCTGCAAGTGCACATTGTGTGGGTGGTTTGTCACAAAAGTGGCGTGATGAGAAAGGATTCCAACCAAAATGAGATGGATTCTAACATTTTTTTTTTCTCGCAGAAGTCAACTCAGTGTTTAACAATATTATAAAAAATTAATTACTAAAAACCCTGTTAAATCTGACATTAAATCAAGTATGGCTTTGGTTTAATTGGAATTAAATATTATTATGTGATCTTGCATAATGGAAGCAGCCTTGTGGCTTCCTGGTTGGTGATGTGTCAAGATGAGAAAGCAAGGGCCCTTAATTAGTTGTTAATCTTGAGGATGACACATGGCCACTTGGCCTTGTTTTAGCATAAAAATAATGCCGACAAGGTATATTTATTAGTCAAATCGTGGATTAAAATAGTAATGAAATCTTGGTTGTTCTTCAAACGGGGAATGTTTTGTAGAAAAAACTGTTCCTTAAACGTGTTTTGGCATGTCAAAACGATGGAATATATCCACCTCACTTTCATTTTAGTATATTGTTTTTCATTGATTTAGGCTTTCACATTCTGTATGAAGTCGTCTAAAGAACTATATTCAATCAGGGCCAAAGTTCTTTAAACTTTGATAGACAATTTTAATACTCAAAATCTTTCTAAACAAAAATATAATCTACAATAAGTTTTGGAGATTTGTATTGTATCGATTTTCATTAGCTTTTGTTTTTCGGGGGCTTTTGAAAATCAGAAACCCTACACGGTAGAGCCACTTGCACTACTCCATAGCTGCCCCAGTTTTCTATTGGAAAAACAAAAAAACTCTTATGACCTAATAAAAACTTATTACATTATATATTTTGCGTTTGAATCCCATTTTTTACATAATTTTTAAAGTTAATTATTTCTGATAATATAATTTAACATAATCAAAGAAAATCTCAAAGATTAAGTTCGAAATATGAGAAATTCAGTTTTGTTGTTTTTGTTTTTGTTTTTGTTTGTTTTTATGTGATAGAGGGAGTGGAGCTTGAGCCTCTCAAGCAAACATTGCATGAAATGTATGAACAAAATAAAATGTATACGTTACCAAAGCTCTCGTCATAAGTTAAATACAATTTGGACCGTAGTCGCTAAGCATGTTTCACAACTGACCCATGCCCACACTTGGCGACAAAACCCAATCCGTTACCAAACACCCACTCTCATGATCTCATCCCATCAGGCCCATGATGACGTGTACCTGTTCCCTTCTCGTGCTCCGCGTGACTCTCCCATCATTATTCCCACGTGCCCAATAACCAACTAACCTCATCTCTATTATAAAAATAGAATATTGTAGGGTGGGGTAAGCCATTAGGCTAATGCAGAGAACTTTCAAATTGGGAAATAACGAAGCTGTATGGAAAGAAGTTATTTTCATTGAGTTGTTTCCTAATCATTTATAAATTATAGTATATGAATTAGAATTGTTTGTACTGATTTTAAGTGAGTGTTATTACGAATTTTAATATGGAATCCAAATATTTTTCTAATTCGTTATGTGTTAGAAAACACCAGGAGTCAGCTTGACAGAAAAAGAAAAACACTAGGAAGTCGACAATTATAATAATTCACATTCTTTTCATAGGGAGATTCTCCCGTAAATATTTTGTGTTAAGGATTAGTTACATATTTCTTATCTTGGTTGTTAAATTACATTCATAATATATTTGTAGTCTTTTAGATGCAATCCAACTGCTGAGAGTAGAAATATGTAATCAATCTTTAACTTAAATATTTATTAGAGAATACATATTCATTACTGATAAATAAATATGCTATTAAAGTAATTTATCATTTATAAATTCCTGAAAATATAAATAATATATTCAAATTAAAAAATACCAAAAATAATAAAATAATTGAGAAGAATTATCCTTTGCTTGACAAGAGAGGACAAGGGTGGGGGTCCACCGGTAAAGCCCACTAAGGCGGCCCAGTAGGACTTGACAGGTGAGGGTGTAGGGACTGTTTGTGGTGCTGCGGTGTACTTTCCTCGTAAACTGAAATATTCGTCTCGTAGCCGCATCGGTGGTGCCACGTGTCCGAGCAAGAGGGACAGGGACATTATCCGGTGGAGCCCGCACTACACCGACCATATCACTCACAGCTGTCCCTACGTGTTTCTTTGCTTCTCCAAGTCGGCTCCTCCTATTCCCGCTTCTGGAATTTCCAACGACCAGCCTCAACTTTGTTCACACTTCAACTTCAACTTCAACTTCAATTCTTTTTTCTTTTTCTTTTTTTAATTTCTGATATTTTTTTTTAATGTGAGTTTTTCTTTTTCTTTTGTTTATAAACAAATATACATTTAAACTTGAAACCTTAGCAAAAAAAAAAAAAGTTTCATATTTTTATGTATAATTCTTCATAAATAAATAAATAACAAAAACAAATTAGGAAAAACTTGGAAAGTACAATGCTTCTCTATACGTTATATGGCAAGCCACATTCATTGTAGAATTGCTTTGTAAGAAACATAAGAAATGCGTGCTACCCAATTGAGAAATTCAATAGTGAGAATTTGATACGTGCAAAAATAATGATTCTCTAAAATATCTTAAAATTCTGTCCATAAAAAAATGTGTGAAAAATCACGTTCAATGAACCAAGTTAATCAATTACACAAAGCAATGACTTCAGCAGTGAGAATATTATTAGGAATAATTGTAAAACTTGTTGTTTTAACCATAGTCAGATCAAGGAACCGAATCATCAAATTAATAAATTTGCTTTATTTATAACAAATCACAAAGAAAATTTCCCAGAAACCACATTGAATTAAGGCGGACATTCACATCACACCCATAGAGTTTGATGGTTCAAAAGATGCATACATTTGACCATCAAAGTCTATGGGTGGTGTGATGTGAATGTGTGATATTAAGTTATAAACCCAACCACCAAAGTCCAGATTCTTTTCTTCATAGAAGATGCATACGCTGTCACTATTCACTATCACTATCATATATATGTCCCTGCCTGGCACAGTTTCCCATCCCACTTTACCTCTTTTTCTCATTTTTGCCCCCCAAGTATTTTCTTTGACCGATCCGTTTGACCAGTCAACTCACTTGACTGATCAATCCCGATGCTTTCGTCCCCATCTGGCCCCACATCTCATCCCTGGCCCACCACCACAATGTTTTGTAATTGCACCCCAAGGTTCCTATGCTTGCTTGTGAATTGCATTATTCAACTATTTTCATCATCAAAATTTATTGTTTAGAATGTTTATGTTTTATACAAGCGTTATTAGAGAGAGGTGAGTTTGAATCCATTAACAAGAGAAATCATAATTCGAACGCAAGATCTCGGATATATTGTAACTGCTCTTACATACGTTTCTTCTTGAAATGGGTTCTTGGAGACGAAGCCAAAACTTCATATTCTTAGGATCCAAAGGATGCGATATGATGGTGGTCTCAATCATTGTTTGTTTATTATTTTCTTGGTTTCTGACAGGTGATAACATGCAAAATACTTGAAAAATCTTGGTTGGTACATTGTGTTTCCCGCTAGCTACTCCAAGAATCTTGGTCCGAATATGGCAAATTTGAACACATGTAAAGATGGATGAATATCAACCGTTGGATCTTCACTTGATTGGCTGATCTATCGACCATCATTAGTGGGTTGCATGTGGATAACAAAAGAATGATGTGTTAATTTGATTATTATAACAAATAAGCCAATTAGTGAGCTAATAATTCTCATTAAGGAA